CTATTTGATATGGCCCCTTCTTTTCAGGTGAAAAAATTGCGCTAAAAGTAAAATCCGATGAACATGCTAAACTGATATGTTGTAAAATTATACTAATGGAGTAATGGTATATCTACCGTTTATTATCTAGATTGGCTGATATCCCCCTATTGCAAAAAATCGGAATAAAGAATATTCATCATGGATCGAGATCTGTAAAAACAGTAGATAATAAATCACCCATGTTGGATTACGTACTGCTAATTTCTATAACTTTATCCCAAAAACGGATTAATGTGCGATTAGCCTATACATGTAATTTGAATGCGCTAACGCCAGTAGGATAATAAAAATATACCGTTTATACACAGCCTTCGGCTCCGAGGATCTGTAAATCATAGATTCTAATCGGCTCTATTTCCATTTTTGAATTTCTTTTTAACGACGCACTGTCTTACGATCCGCATGTAAATCAGGATGTGTTTTTTTTTATTAGTAATTCAGAACTGCGTAATGAGCGAGATAGAACATACCAGAACTTTGGGGAAAGTTCACCAGTATAGCAAAAAAAAATATTGCTCTTGGCTGGGTTTATTAATAGATCCTCTAAAAATGACGACTGCGGATGCTGGTGATGTATTACTGCACATCAGTTAGAAGAAATTCACGTGACAGCGTGAACGCACTTTTGCCAAAAAAAAGTCACATGTTTTTGGCAGGGGCCCCCGGCTGAAATTTCATCAAGAAAAAGTTTTATTAACCGGTGCACATAAAAAAATATAGATGAATATGTAGGGCTACTTTATTGTTAAAAGAATAGGTGCGGTTGAGGCGCTTACCTCAAAAGATTCAGTCACATGCACATTCTGAAATGAAACACCGATCACTTTTGTTAAGAAAAAAAAATCTCATAGTACACATAGATGTCTGTATAATGCAATAAAATAGCAAACGATGAAATCAATTGATATGACCTTTTTTATTACAGGGAATAAAGCATATGCATATTAATAATCACATTATTCGCGCCTTCACATCACATCCGCACACAAAATATACAAGACTATGTGAGCAAACTAATAAAATTTTTTGATTACACGAGCTAAATAATACAATATTTTTTTTTGCAAATTGCTTGGTAAACAGAAAAAAAATATACTAGAAGCGCCCATAGTAAAATGGACAAATTCTGTGACAATCACGTGTCCTGTTCACAAGATTATTGAATTGGGGTGTATTAAGGGTATCACGTTTGAACATTGTTTTTACTGACGGTAAATTTGGATTGCAGAGCTTATCGTACAAAATATTAAAGGATTTTTTGAAAATTTCTCGTATGTCCAAAAGTATTTCAATTTGATCAACGAAGGATAACATTTCTTTTAACGATGCAGGAACTGAAACTTGGCCAACGTGGACCATGACATAAATTCCTTCAACAAGATCGATCATATAAAAATCGATTGTATGACCTATAATGAAGTGCCAAAAAAGGTTAAATGAATTTCATGTGTGAAAAAACACTTTATATTATTTTGCTTACCAACACATTGAAAGCCGATTACATTAATATCGGCACCTTTCTCTATTGCGAAGTCCATGCAGTCCTTCATAAAGACACCAAGTCGGATTAAGTCACAACAATTTTTATATACATTTGTCTTTTGTGATGGAGGACTAACCTCCCCTATGAAAATATTAGCGACTGTTTGAAATTGGTGAACAATTGAGACCACAAAATCAGGTTGCTTGGTTCGTCCCCTGAACTTTCTTGCCTTACTTTCGTTCAAAGCTGTGTTTGGCCACTGGACAATATGTTTGTCAGCATCATGAAATGCACCTTTCATTATATAGTCCAAATAATTTGTGATAAGTGTGATCTCGCTAGGTTCATTTCTAAGCCTATCACTAGGCAACATTTCCAGACCTTTCAATATCACAGAACCCAAGTTTTCATCCAGAGTTTCATCATTTGAAAGTTCCGTTAATAACAATTTTATGGCCTTTTGACGTGACTCCTTAGTCGCTTGCTTAATCGCTTTTCTAAATTTTGTCTCACACTCTGAACTTAGTTCTATTTGTTGTGCTGGAGCGATTTGTTGGTAAATTTCATTGAGTAAAGGAGAACCAAATATATTGATCATCGTATTTGAATGAGAACCTGGGGCAAGCAGAAAAATCGAAGACAGTGACAATATTTCGTGTACATTTGATTCAACAAATAGACCTTCAGTCTTTGCAATCATTACTGATTCATTTTGGTATTCTCGGAATAACTGAGAAACATTAGTATCTCCTATCTTAAGATCATTTTCTGGATCCCCATCCTTAAAGCAAAGTTCATCTACATCATTAATTATTATGACACAATCCTCGTACTCACTTTCGTCTTCATTCTCTTTCTCACTAAACGAGTTATCCATTGGCAATGGATGTAATGTTGGACTGCCTGGGGAAGGTGTAGTGTATCCACATTGCTTCTTTGACAAACATTCTTCGTTGTAATTAATATTTCCTCTTTCTCTTAAATTATATGGTTTGTTATCCGCATTCTAGGTGAATACGAATAAATCATAAATTAGTATCTCGGAACTGACAGCGGAATACTATTTGTGCAGTTTCCGACTTTCCGGACATCCCTAAAAGGGGAGACCTTTTTAGCTTATTAGCATCCTCCGCTTCTTTTTCTTGTTCATCAATTCTGGATTTTTTTGCTTCATTCCTTTCCAAAAAATTTAACTGAGACTTATGAACCATCTTCGACGTATCGTTTAAACGTTCGTTTCCCGTTTGCAAAAAATCCACAATACCTTCAGCCTAAAAATTTATTAAAAATCAAAATTTGCTTCAAATATATAATCCTGAAAGCTTAACTACAGTTACCTCGACTATTTTTCTTTTTTTATTTAATATATTGAGTTGCTGATCCAGCTTTTTGTCTTCCCAGAACTCTTGGACTTCCTCCGATACCTTTTCATTCTTGATAAAAAAAATTACAATTGTAATATTTTACTCACCTCTAGCCTTAACTTCAACCTAACACCAAAATGATGCATCTATAGCGGAGCCGTAGCCTTTCATACACATGGCCGTAGCCAGTATACTAGCTAATAGAGTAATATTGCATTATTCAACGGAGCCGTAGCCTTTCATATACATAGCCGTAGCCAGTATACTAGTTGATAACACGTTACAACATTCGCGTGTTGAAATCCCGCAGGCCGTAGCTATTAGGCAACAAAACGAATGTCTACACCACTTCCAATCCTAATATTCTAATTCCTACAACCTTAGTTCCAATCCTAATCCTAACTAATCCTACCATCGCCCATAATAAAAGCTAACTTACCGCAAAATTTCCTAAAGCTTCTACGGTTATTTTGCATTGTTCATCCATTTCCTTATAACTTCGTTTGATTATAGTAAGTTCCGAAACGTATTGAGATTGAATTTTGTCCTTCTGAAGTGAACCTTTTGTCGTCTCTGCCAAATGCTTTAAGTATGTGAGTAGCGATGGTTTCGAAATTAAATTCCAGTATGCTGGTACACTAAGTTTTTTATATACGTTTTCATTCAGTTTCATTTTAAATCAAACGATAGTTTGATAGTTTGATTTTGCAACGA